ATTTGATTAATGCCGTTATAATAAAAAAACAACTTTTTTTATTAAGTTTCTGCTTTTTTTCGTATCATCCCACTAATTGTTAAAGTAATTTAGATTTAGCGGAAAAGAAAACACGGAGATGTGAGAGACAAAAAAAAAAAGTCTGGTTTTTTCAAATGCGGAAATTAAAGTAAAAACAACAACAACAACAACTTAGCTCTTTGTTAATTTTTAATGGTGGTTATTCAGTAATGAAAGCAAATACCGACTCCGTAATGAAAAATAATAACGTACACAAGACGAACAGGTGATGCTAGAAACATCTGGCGAGCGAAAAGCAGCCATCAAGACACGTTTTGCATCATTAACCTCCCATACAAAGCCAGCGATATTCAGCCCCATTTTCACAGAGAGAAACTTTTACAGATGACACAGACAATGACGGAAGTATATTCAAAACAATAGTAATAACCAGCTGCGTAAGAGGTGGTTCAAATCTATTTAAGAGTTACATCTTCGTCAGGGTTAATAATCTTTCTGTCACTCCTAGGAAACGTAGTGTTGTGCGTCTGTTTCTCAGAATCAGGAATCGGAATATATTTTGTAGAGTTTTAATGTTACTCCTGGTTTATTAAGTGTTGTTTTGATGATTTTAAACCAAATATAGTTAGAGCATAGTATTTATCCGTGAATGGTTTGTTTGTTTTTTCTCAATTACATTAAAAACTGGAGTAAGTTGGACTGATGATAATTAATGGATAAGTATCACTTTTAGGTCAATCACTTCGTTTGAGGTAGAAGGGGGGAGGTATGGTTTGTTTTGAATTTCGCGCAAAGCTACACGAGGGCTATCTGCGCCAGCCGTCCCTAATTTAGCAGTAAAATATTAGAGGGAAGGCAGCTAATCATCACCACCCACCGCCAAATCTTGGGCTACTCTTTTACCAACGAATAGTGGGATTGATCGTCACATTATAATGCCCCACGGCTGAAAGGGCTAGGATGTTTGGTGTGACAGGGATTCGAACCGGCAACCCGCAGTTTGCGAGTCGAGCGCCCTAACCACCTACCTGGCCATGCCAAGCCAGAAGGTTAAGGTAAACAACAACTGATCATCTGTATCAATGAAAGTAACTTTTATTTTTTTCTGATAGATATTTCGAAATAGTTGATTCCATCGGAATAATTACAGCTAAGATTTCAGAGAAAATGTACATAAATGATCGTAATCTGTCTGTAGTTAAATCACTTCTTAAACAGATACTGAAACTGGAGAAAATATAATCAAGAAGTGAAGGTTCGAACACTTAACGTTAAGGTATTCTCCTTCCGTGATCAAAGTCTAATAGACACGTTGCTAATGTTAATATATTTTCGTTATATTTTGTGAGCCCGAGTTATACCTGGTACGTTTGGTATTACGTCTAACTGATTTTATATCAAGGTTATGAAGTACATGAAAGTTGTGTAAAGAAAATATGTTTAAATGATATTTTTGAATGATGCACTACTTTGTACACTTTAAAATTATGAAATTAGTGCTTGTTTGTTTGTTGTTTAAACACAAAGTTACACAATGGGCTATCTGCGCTGTGACCTCTACAGGGGATACGTTTAGCACTATATGCATTAATTTCGTGGAAGAGACAGACAAGTTACTTCAAATAAGTACTAATAATAATTTGTGCATCAGTTGTAGCACTATTTTTCGCCTAGCATTGTTTCCAATTATAATCAAGGACGATCTTATGAACAAGCCATATTATAAAGTGCTAAGAAGTTAGTGGGGTTTAAAACGACCCCCTACTTGAAACTCTTTTGTCCGCCTCTGATAGATATATCAATACTATATACAAAAAAAAAAATCATGTTCTTTATACACAGTATATGAAGTTGTTTGTATAAACTAAGTACCAACATGTTTATTCTTACTTTGTTTTCTGTTAGGTATTAATCCGTGATCTTTTACGTCACAGATACAGATCAAAACGGTACTCACCTTGATTAGAGCTGATTGCCTATATGTCGCTTCACTTTGCTCAGTTTAATTGAAAGTGAGGTCCTAACTGGCTAATGTTAGAATTATCTAATACGTACAACCTTTTGTACGTTACAGAAACTACTTATAACGAATAACAAAGGTAAGATCGGTCTTAGAAGCACGAGAGAGACTGTCTAATATCAGGAGCTTACACACGTGGATTTCTCTACATACTGATTCTGGGAGAGCAGCGGCAGAGCCAGCTAACGTAGCGTGTTTCCAGGGTCAGCTGCTGGTACGCAACCACTCTTTAACCAGTAAACGTAAATTCTGACCATAACGAGCAACGCTCTGGCACTCTGGTGACAAAACAACGTACTAAGCAGAATTGTACTTAAAACTTTCTCTTATTTATTGTCAAAAGTAAAAGAGCATTAACATTAGAATATTATTCGTTTTGGAAAAAAAAGAATAAAAACCCGCCTCTGAAAACAGCAGTTGATGAACCAGTAGTTATCAATATTTTCAGGTTAATTAATATTCGATTATATAGATAGTTGAAACTATACAACTTTTTCCAAAATTGTTTAATACGTATAACAGTATCTAGATTGCTTCTACGTATTGCAAGATGACTACACACATCAATTAATTTCTTATCATTTGTTTTTTTTTACTTTTTAAAGTCCCCACCTCCAATGGAACAGCGATAAGTTTGTGGACTTATAATGCTAAAAATCAGGTTTCGATACCCGTGGTGGGCACAGCACAGATAGCTCTTTTGTTTAGCTTTGTGATTAACTACAAACAAACAACCAATAATTACTATAAAAAAGTTCACAAGTGTAGAAAAGTGTGTTTGTCGTTTAAGCACAAAACTACACTATAAGCTATCTGCGCCATGCCCACAGCAGGAATGTATCCCCGAATATTAGCGCTACAAGCCCTAACGCTTACCGCTGAACCACGAAGAAAAATAATTCATGTACATGAAGTCGTTGCTCAAGTCGATTACTGTTTTTTTTAGAAGTCATTAAAAACACATCCTAACTACATGATATGAACGTCACTCGCACGCGAAATTATGCTGATCATTTTACAGAAGGAGAAAATATACCTGTAAGGATATAGCACGAAATAGTTATTCAATACCACCCGAATAATGGAGCACGAAACGCTTATCCAGTACGTACCGTAAGGATGTAGCACGAAACGGTTATTCAATACCGCTCGAAGAAAGGAGCACGAAACGGTTATCCAATACGTACCGTAAGGATGGAGCACGAAACGGTTATTCAATACCGCTCAAAGAAAGGAGCACGAAACGGTTCCACATACGAACCATAAAGTGAGACACGAAACGGTTATCAAGTATAACCATAAGGGTGAAACAGAGACAGTTATTTAAAACAAACCGTCAGAATATGATATGAAACAACTTGAGTATGGAAGTACATTATGTTAATATAATTATAACAAGTATGGAAGTACATTATGTTAATATAATTATAACAAGTATGGAAGTACATTATGTTAATATAATTATAATAAGTATGGAAATATATTATGTTAATATAATTATAATAAATATGGAAATATATTATGTTAATATAATTATAATAAGTATGGAAATATATTATGTTAATATAATTATAATAAGTATGGAAATATATTATGTTAATATAATTATAACAAGTATGGAAGTACATTATGTTAATATAATTATAACAAGTATGGAAATATATTATGTTAATACAATTATAATAAGTTTGGAAATATATTATGTTAATATAATTATAACAAGTATGGAAGTACATTATGTTAATATAATTATAACAAGTATGGAAGTACATTATGTTAATATAATTATAACAAGTATGGAAGTACATTATGTTAATATAATAAGTATGGAGTACATTATGTTAATATAATTAGGCAATAAAGGGTCATACGGTGGAATAACACATGGCAAAACAGTCAAATACCTTCCATATAAACTGGGCAAAGAACATCTAGAAATAGATACAGAGAAAATAGTGCACGGAACAAACCGCCAGAACAGAATACCACAAGGTATGAAATGCGTTATATACTCTCTCATTTGTAATAATAAAATACATAAAAAGTCACGACGAAGTATTTACAACAGGCATATCATCCTTAAAGGTGTCCAAAAAAAAACATCATTCAGCAGCTAATACGAGACTAGTTTCTCGGCTTCTTATTTGACTGTCAGTAATAACCAAATACTCTTGGTACCTACGACCTTTCAGATACAATCTACCCTCCCCCATCCCCCCCCCACAACTTGTATATCATGAACATTATATTACTAAGTTTTGTATTATTTACATACTACTGGCCGTGGGTAATTGGGTACCAGTACCGAGGCACATATATTTCTAAAATCTGTGGGCTGGGCGTGGAATAGTGAGTGGCGTACTAGAACGTTAATCCGAAGATTCCTTGTTCGCGACCCGATGCAACAAAATCGCACCTCGCACTTGTGAGCTGTGGGTGTGCTATATGAGTTACAGTCAAATCATACTATTAGATCAGCAATAGCAGCTCTAGGGCTGGTGGTGTGTTCTGTTGACTAGCTGTCTTCAGTTTAGTTATCAGTTCAAAATTAGTGGCGTCTATGTACACTTAGTCATCTGCGCAAAATTTTGAAACAAATTAAAATCTGGGTTCTTATAAATAAACGTAAGCCAAACCAACAGCCAGAAAGTGTTAACTTGATTTTAATGATTCAGTAAAAATTATAGTGTTTATAATCGAAACTCTCTTGGGTCAACTTCATATGACAAAAACATGTATTCATCTTTATTACATTAAATATTGATTTACAGACATAACGTTGCTTTCATGTTGTATAGATATTCAAATTCATAGTTTTATATCAATTTATTGGAGAACAAAATATTGTTTGTTTGTTATGAATTTTGCGCAAAGCTATCGAGGGCTATCTGCGCCAGCCGTCCCTAATTTAGCAGTGTAAGACTAGATGGAAGTCAGCTAGTCATTACCACCCACTCTTGGGCTACTCTTTTACCAACGAATAGTGGGATTGACAGTTACATTATAACGCCCCACGGCTTAAATGGAAAACACATTTGGCGTGACGGGGATTCGAACCCGCGACCCGCAGATTGCGAGTCGAGCGCCCTAACCACCTGGCCATGCCGGGCCGAGAATAAAATAACATGAAAAAAACAACATGGGATACGAGTCTGAGAAGTCCATTAAGAGTCCAGAGAAGATGGGCTTGTTATTTATTCAATCTGTAATTTCTATCGTTTTTACGGCTCCTACAGTACATTAACTTCTTACAAATAGAGGACGTATCATAATAAAACGTAAAGTTAAACATGTAAAAAAAAAAGTAGATTATCCCCATCGTTATCAAATTTCAGCTGCTCACCTTTGCCCAAAATGCGTTATAATTTGAACTTCAAACGCGTCCTTATATTAATCATATTCAAACACCTGCTGTATTGTGGTAAAAGAAGAAAAGGATGAGCATATACTCATATGCCGGCGTTTCGTATGTAGAACCCAGCGGGCTACTTAACACGTGAATTGCTAGCGGGCTGTTGCGCGTGCGTAATCTTCGTTATCAGAGAACCTGGCGCTCCAAACAAAGAATGTAAATTGTTTCGTTTCTTCGTTTTAGCGCTAAGCTACGCATTGAACTGGTTATCTGCCCCTTTACTTACCGCGGGATTCGAACCCTGGATTCAGCGTTGTAAGTCCGCAAACTTACCGCTGAGTCACCGGGGGGACGATAATAACTGTAAGCATTATGATGAATTAACTATTTTACGTTTTACTGGACCAAAAAATATAAGTAAAAGAGGAGTATAGCACTTTAAGTTTTATTTTCGTCATTATAACCGAAGAATTAAAAATATATATACTTCTTCTTATTCGATATATAAAGTAATCCAAATGATCGCAATATAAATGTAATCACTGTGATATAAGATTATACTATCAACAGAACATGTTACCATTAGCAAAACTGACAAACGATAAAAATAAGATATAATAATCTCGAAATGATATTTGTTATTCGACTAGATGTCCTTCCGTGTTCTGTTTCAAGAGTAAATAAAACCAAAATTAAGAGTAACAAATATATATATATATTTTGCTTTTGCATTTCAAATGCCATGCTGTTTTGTAGTCTACAGAGCAGAGTGCATAATTATTCTCGTGATTCATGGCATGCACACGTTTTACTGATGTAACGACAGTACAAGTTGCAACGTTAGGCGTCCCTTATGTGACGTCATTTTAGTGTCTACTGACTGATTGACTGACAGACAACACAGATCACTGAATAGTGAACAAACTGAAAACTTGGGGCGAGCTTTCTGTTAATAAATGCAATAAAACGTGTAACCTTTATTTATGTTTAGCCTTCCAAAAATAGAGAAACCTAATGTATCTTTGTGTCTCGTTTCTTTCTCTAAACGTTTACAGACTCATTAAATTTCTTGTGTTAGTAAACAACACGTAGGATAAAAAAAATAAGTTTGGTAATTCACATTTGAAAACACTCAAACGATAAAACCTCTGCATTTTCGATAGGTGGGTGAGCTGGGTTCGAATCTATGCTATGCTACAAAATATTCCCCGCACTTTTATGTTGTAGATATACGTTATAAGAGTGACAATCAATGCCTTAGCGTGGATGGTGGAGTGCCGATGATTGATTGGCCAAGAATGGATCCAAAATGACTGAATTATTACAACAAACTTCCATTTCTGAATGTATGTGTCGAGAATAGATCCAGAATGACTGGATGATTAAAACAAACTTCTATTATTGGATGATGTATGTGTGTCGAGAATAGATACAGGGTGACTGGATGATTAAAACAAACTTCCATTACTGAATGATGTACGTGTGTCGAGAATAGATCTGAAATTTGCACAATAATGCACCGTAATGCATACTAATAAATTGTGATTCACCTCTTGTACACTTCACAGAATTCTGGATTGTCTGACTACTTGTGGCAAAACCAATTTGTGACGCCACATTACAGAACATTTTAAGTGTTACTAACGTTCTTGGAAGTTGATCAGATATATACCAACAACATGCCAGAACAAAGTTACACCTAAAGAAGCTTCAATAGAATCTGTAGAATCCTTAATTAAAAACACTTGACAATTCAAACTGTTCACTACAGTAAACAAGCTCCCCTTTCATGCTAACCAGGATGAAACCAGTTACGTCAATACCTCACCATTCTAGACGTTGTACACGACCACGTAAAGTCACATTTGGGTGTCAAAAAATGTAAGGTAGTGCAATAACTTTTTAAGAACAACATTTACACGTTAATATTTCTATAGCATTGATCAGGGTGTGATGAACCAAGATCTAATGAAGTTAAAAAATGGAAACATGGACAGCTAATTATGTTTACAAAAATTATATTAAAAAACAGGTTATGAAGGCACACTGAGGTTCAAGATATAGACTGAAAGAAGGGATCATGGTCTGGATTTATAAATAAGATTCCATGTTAGGTGCTTGGGCTATAAATTCGAAGGTTCGTGATTTTTTACCGTAAAAATACGCTCCGCATTTCGAGGCCATTGGCGCACTATAAGTGACAGTCAAATTTCACTCTCCTGTCAGACAGCTGTAATGCAAGAATCGTTGGTAAACATTATATTTTTTTATACTTTATCAGTTTATAACTAAAGCAAACAAAATTTCAGGTAAAATATATTCTGATCAACTTGATTTTGTTTTATCAATCTCTGCTTAAATTTGAAGATTAATCATTGTGGTACAAGATACGTAAATTGGCAAAAAAAAAAGTTTCGTTTGGCGTAAAAAATGAGAGAAATTAACATTTGACCGGGGTAGTTTTGTTTTAGTTACATTCCTATTCATTGGTTCATTATAGACTTCAAATTAAAAGTGTGTTTGTTTGTTTGTTTTTAATTATGCACAAAGCTACACAAGGGCTATCTGTGCTCTGCCCACCACGGGTATCGAAACCCGGTTTTTAGCGTTGTAAGTCCGCAGACATGCCGCTGTGCCACTGGGGGGCTAAAAGTGTGTGTGTGTGAAAAGTTTGCATTTATATATTTTTTTTTATCTGCCACAAGACACTGTCCAGGTGACATCACAATCAATACTAAAACTCATCAATTGGATTGAATCTATAACGGTTAAAAATTATAGACACTAAAATCTTTGGTGCGAAAGGCCTAAGCCACAACACTTTGTGTTCATTTGTCCACTTCCTTGATATTGGTTAAAAATGTATAAATATTTACCTAGTAATTAATTTGAATTATGTAATCTTTAGCCTATGTATATAACTGGTCTACATGTGCAATTTCATTAAAAAAATTATATTACAGACACTAATTATCACACAAATATAATATGCTTATCAAAATCCAGGGAGGCCCGGCATGGCCAGGTGGTAAGGGCGCTCGACTCGCAATCTGAGGGATGCGAGTTCGAATCCCCGTCCCACCAAACATGCTCGCCCTTTCAGCCGTGGGGGGTGTTATAATGTTACGGTCAATCCCACTATTCGTTGGTAAAAGAGTAGCCCAAGAGTTGGCCCTCTAGTCTTACACTGCTAGCGCAAATTAGGGACGTTTTGCGCGAAATTCAAACAAACAAAATCCAGGGAAATATTTCGCAATGCTTTTTCTATAGAATCTGTTGTAAGTATGTGCAATATCCCACAAAAGTATGTTCCTTGAATAAACTGCATACAACGAAGCAAGAAATTTGCTCTTCATTTCATTTGCAAATATTTGTAATGTGTATGCTGACCACACGTACACTCGAAAGTCGCCATCTCGTGTAATCTAAGAAGAAAATGTACATTTCGTAGTAGTTTTTTTTTTATAAACACGCATATTTTTATACTTTTTTTTGTAATATATTTAAGCATGTTCAGCTTCAGTCCCTCTATCAATTTTGTAGGTAAATCGAAAACTTCCATCTACCAAACGAAAAATAATAATAGTGCGATGAAGTACTAACGAAGAATGCCTAAAAATAAAACGTGTTAGGAAACAATTGCAGAATGAAACCGATTGAAATAAACAATTATTTCATACCCTTTGCGTAGTTTATAAGCGAACATTACGAGTTTTTACAGTCGAAACGTAAAAATTTAAAGGGTATCGCAGAAATGTTTGGCCTTTAATTCCGCTTCCAAATAACACCAGCAATTGCGATGACGAGGAACCCACTTTGGGACTAATAATGGCTGGAGACGGCTTGAATGGGTACTGAAGAAAAACTTTAATATAAGTTTAACATAACAGCAAATGTACAACGTTTCGACAAGATACGAAAAATGTTTACTTACAGAAGTTTCGGAATACATTTATTTCATCTTCGACGAAATCTGGAAATAATGTTATAATTAGAATCATATTATTATTTCCAGATTTCGCTGACGATTAGTTTGTTTTGAATTTCGCGCAAAACTACACGAGGGCTATCTGTGCTAGCCGTTCCTAATTTAGCAGTGACAGACTGGAGGGAAGGCAGCTAGTCAACACCATCCGCCGCCAACTCTTAGGATACTCTATTATCAACGAATAGTGTGATTGACCGTCACGTCATAACGTTACCACGGCTAAAATGGCGAGCATGTTCGATGTGACGGGGATTCGAACCACAAATCCATGCCAGGCCGTCCACTGAAGATGAAATAAGATGTCAACCGTCTTCATGTATGGGATACTAGTTAAAGTAGGATTAACATGTTAAATTTGTTGGGATCTAAAATAGTTATTTGGAAACGCAGTGTTAAATAATTTTAGCAATATTTCATGGTTTTACTTACATCATCTTGTAATCTCGCGGTTTGTATGACAAAATGGAGCCTTAGGCTTCATTCTTCTAATCGGTGTTGGCATCCTCCTTAACTGAATTATAACAAGAGACCTCTAACGGTTGTTGTAACAAATTTTATTTCAATTTTTATCAAATGAATTTCGAACTTTGGAAAAAAATAACTTATGTTAGTGATTACTTATGAAGTAAACAGTTTGAAAATAGTAAATATTTTACATGCAAACAGATATATTTATCAAAGAGCATAAAATATGGATGTAAAACATTGCTTTATCGCCTGTCTGTCTTATTAGTTTAATTTCTTTATAATTATATTAACTTTTTAAAACATTTTTTTTAGGAATTCTTATCGCAACAAAGCTTATTTTTGCAAGAAATACTATTTTAGTCCTACAATATTTTTCGAATTTTCTAATTCCCACCACGTGGCAGAACTCTGTTGAAACGACTGGTGACACTCTGATCGCTAGTAGTCACGATATAAGAAGATCGATTCTATCACTAGATGGCGTTAAGTTAAAAATAAAACTAAAACATTCGTGAATCTAATGTGCCAACAATCTTTTTTTATGTACTTAGCATTAATTTCTTAAACGTAACCAAAACGTTCGAATTAAAAATTGTTATACTAAAATGTGAATTATATGAAGTATTAATTGTAAAAGGAATCTTAACTAAAATATTTTTCAAACTTCTTAAGAAACAAATATATCAGGTATAAATTTGAAAGAACGATTGCTCATACACCAGCTGTATAAATCAGAAAAAAGGTAATAATTCTCAAAAAAAATTAAAACTTTACCACTACAAGGTTCATGCTTCTAATAGCTGAATCTAAACAAGTCTCTTGCCACACTGACAGAGTTCTGTGGCAGTCTCTGTAATTTCGTATTAGCTATAGATTAATAGTTAAATCTATGATTGAATCATACAGGAGCAATCACTTTTGCTACTAATAAAACTAATGAATTATATTTCAAAAAACAAGAACTAGCTTGAAGTTTGTTCATTCATAGAAGTCACCTTTTATATATATATATATAGATGTTTTGTTCTGTACGCCTCGTACGTTCGAAAAACAACTTACTTATGATCAGCAGAAAGGGAAAAACTGTTCAAACATTCCTAACTGGCTGATTTAGTAATACCATATTTACCATAGCAGTTTTTTCATAATTCAACTCTAAGCTTGCTTAAAGAATAATATAATAGGCAAGGTTTCTTTCACTCACACACAAAAGAAACAGTTTACAAAATCAAACTTTAAGTAACAGTACATTAACCTTCGACTCCCTATTTGTTGTGAACCTAAATTTTTACTCTTTCAAGTCTATCCTCACTCAAGATCAGATAAAAATAATAAATTTTCTTAACTAAAGCATACAAGAACCTGTTGGAATTTACTTCGAGATATGCAGTAAATTTTTCGTACTACGATAAGTTTTTATGTAACCACGCTTTCCTAATAACACGACAATTCAGTAAACATATTATGTTACAACCTTCTTCTCTGCTTTAAAGTGTAAACAAAATATACCTTCTACAAACAAGTGTGTGGAGTATAAAAACAAATAAGTAAAAATTGGCATTGTTTAAGCTTGTAACCAATTATTCTGTTATTGTCTAGTTTTTGCGGCATTGTTTTAAGAAACGATACCGAGATCAGTTTGTGTTTCAGCATAACTTCCCTCTTTACGGTTAATCATCTTGAATGACGATAAAAAGCTGCAACTGTTGCATCCTCATGTTTACATGTAATCAGTACATCACGAAACTTGTCCAAAACTGCTACAAGTTGGGATCGTCGAACGTTCTCATAATACATAATTTCCTCTAAGTGGTGTTTACCAGTAAAGTATGGACGTAACCTGAAAAAAAAAAAAGTAAAAGAAAAGAATAATTACTTCATTTAAACTTCTTTATATTCTTACTTAACAAAGTGAACAGTACAAAAGAATTAATAACTAGAAAGATCTCTGTTTTTTTCAAATTTTGGAAGTTTCCATTGGATGTATGGAGTAAAATGTTGGTTTATTTCATCACGATGTTTCACTAGTTTTGTATTTAAAACCAATCTTTTATACTTAGGCTTATAGCTTAAAGTTTATTTTTATAGTTGTATATTTGCCAGTTAATTGTTAAATGCTTTATAATATATATACAATCTCTGATTCACGTAATGAGGTATAATACAGACTACACATGAAACTGTGGAAAAGTTTTTAGGGCTGTAAACAACAGGTAAAAATGTATGTAAAATGTAAGCATTCCTTTGTACTTCATACAAGTTTTAATCGGATGTAAAAAGTAAAACATTTGTTTATTTTATCGCAATGTTTCATCGGGTTCAATCTGGCATCATCCAATGAGGTACAAGAACAGAGTCTAACAGAAATTGATTTAAAATGAAAAAATCATGTGTCTGTGTCCTTAACAATAATAACTTAGAAAGCATGTGATTGAACGATTGTATATCGTAAAGTATGTATTTATCAGTTTACTTTCAAATATATATTTAAGACTTCAAAGTGCTGATTTTTATCTGTTTTAATTACTCTCAATACCAAATGATGGGTTAGCATGGGATTGCTACCACAATAGACTGTATATGAGAATTAAAGGGACAATTCCACGAACCTATAAGCCATAAAAACTTTTCCACAGTTTCATGTGTAGTCTGTATTATACCTAATACCAAATGATGGGTTAGCATGGGATTGCTACCACAATAGACTGTATATGAGAATTAAAGGGACAATTCCACGAACCTATAAGCCATAAATACTGTGTCTTTTTAATAATTAACATAATAATTCACCGATGTTCATCTATCTAATAATAACTTTGATTCCAATTTAGTTTCTATACCTCACAAAAATATATTTGGATTTTAATGCATGAATTTGTAGCAATTAGATAACACTAGCATACAAAACAGGAATCCCTTTCATAAATATTATCTTCTTAATTTTCTCCTGCCTGTACATGAAGTTTGACTCCAGCAGTTTAAAAAAATGCTCTTCATCTATGGCTTTCAATTTATTTAATATCATTTGAAACCACTTATAAAACTTTCCTTGCATCAAAATAACCGATTTTAAAAAATACTGCTTCATCAAAATTTTTACTTATTGTTAACAAGATCAGTTTCGTGGAAGTTTCCAAAGTTGATCTTTTGTCAGAAAGACTGTAAATGTGGGGCTTGTGCCCCCCCTTTTTTTTTTTACTAAATTCTTGTACATGATTTTTCTTTAAATGTCAGAACAACAGTGTCACTTTCATCAGAAACAGCACCTTGTATTATAGGATTTACATATTCTTATTCTGCATTCTTAATCCAGGTCAATCTCGTTCCTGAAAACAAAATTACATCTCAATTTTCATTAGAAAATTAACACAAAACAACTTTTGAAATATGAATACCTAACAAATAATTTCAAGTCGTCCGTGTTACTAGCTGCCGGAACTTTCATGATGGCCTCTCTTTCTGATGGAGACAGTTCTGCCAATAAATCTCCATTACTGGGATCTCTTGATGACAAATCTTCCTCAGATCCACTCTTAGATGAGGATCCAGACAAGGCTGAATGGACAGGACTTCCACCAAGGGAGTCTTCACTATGAACTAACAGTTTAACACAATATCATTATAATACTGGGCTAATAACTGAATCACCAACAGAATACAGAGAGAAATTTATGATCAATAACATATTTGCTGATAAAGAATGAATTAATGTCAGTAGGGTCTGTTACACTACTATTGATAATTCCATAATACAAAATTTAGAGACTAGAATACTATTATTCTAATAGAGTAAGGTCTTTACAAATTAATAACAAATAAACCAAAGGCATAATTTACTTACTGTGTTTTTTTTACCACGTTAAATACTAATCTAATACTCCTGATTATTCTGAACCTAAATTGTGTTTACGAATTATACTGAACATAAAGGAAGTTTAAAAATGATATTTTATAAAGTAAATTTGTTATTTTCATCAATTAATCTCCAACCACCTATTCTTTCGGCTCTTTTCTAAATCCTCAATTAAGTAATATCTAACTTGTGTTTTTTTTTAACTTATGTTAAGTACAATTCGCAAATACAATTTAGGTTCGGAATAATCAGGAGTAATAGATTAGTATTTAATGTGGGAAAAAAAAAACATGGAGAGTAATAGTGCTTTGAGTTTGAAATCAAATATAAATATTTTTATAGCACTTGGAAAAAGCAGTTGTATAACACCAACCATCAGGATTAACTTCAAAAAATGTACCAATTCATACTTATGTCTATATTTCTGAGGACTGAAAGAAATATTTGTTTTGTCTTGAACAAAATAACATATTAAAAAAAGAAAGTGAGAATGGGATTAAAAAAAAAAAAGATGTTTTTAATCCTGAATCAAGAAATTGTTAAAACAGCGATTTCAAGTTAGGTCTAAAGAAACGGTAATAAAACAGTTGAAGCAACTTAATTTTCATGCCTGAACATGTAACTTACAAGAACTTCCATAATCTGACTGACTAAATCCTTGACCACCAGAAAGGGCTTCATCTGTAGATGGACGTCGGTTATCTCGCTCGTGTAGGTTTAATAACGATGGAGGCTGTGAAGTTGGAATTAAATAGACGTACGTGTGCAGCTGCATCAGTAACCGATGTTGTAGCATCCACACTATCGTCTGGACTTGCTGAAACTGGAAAAATACTAATTTCATATGTAAATAGGTTTTTCACTCATGAAATACATCTACATTTCAAAGAAGTTTTATTCTACAAATGCTTACAGTATTAAATCCTTTGTTTAGCACTACAAAATATTATTTTAATTTATTTGAGATGAAAATGGTTTGTTTGTTGTTAAGTACAAAGTTACACAATAGGCTATCTGTGCTCTGCCCCGTGGGTATTTGAATTTGTTTTTAGCAGTATTAGCCCCTAGACTTACCACCGAGCCACTGGGGGGGAAGAGATGAAAAAAGGAACTAAAGAAAATAAATTTCAAAAGGTTGAAAAACAAGAAAAGTAAAGAGAAAATATAAAACAAATGATAATATAAAATACTTAAAATGTAATAAGTCAACTTAATTCCAAAAATATTAACTAATGAAAAAAAAATCTTAAAAGGTTGGAAAACAGAAAAAAGTTTAAAATAAAAAAGAGAAAATATAAAACAAATAAAACTGACATAACATAGAGCAACTAGCCAACTCAATTTAAAAAATATGAAAGAAAGAATAAAGTAAACAAGTTTTAAAAGGTTAAAAATGAGACGAATAAGAAAAAATAAAATATGAAACAAAAATAAAGAATCAAAAAACAAACAAGAAAGTCTACTACAAGTCTGATTAAATTGTTTCAAATTATGCCTAAATGAATCAGTGTGTTTTCACTATGCTGAAAAAAACAACAACAAAAACTGTCGTCTGCAAATTTCTCCTGCGATGTGATGCACCTATGGCAACAGCCTTGATAACAGATAACACTGATGCGATTTGTTTACCAGCTTTTTAAAGCAACATGATGTGCTCTCAGCCAATCATGGCAGAGAATTCATACTAGGGATAGAACAGAGTTGATTATTTCTTTCCTAGGTAAATGAATGACCACTCTCCCTCATCTTTAAGTAGCAACTGCCATGACTGAATGGCAAACAAGTTTTATATTTGTTATGAATGAATTGACCAGTGTAAATTATTAACACCACTTTTTCTTTTATATTACTGTTAATGTGTTTTCATTTTATAAATTCAGGCAGTTTCAGACTGTTTTCATCAACTACATGAAGCTATGAATTAAGAAAAAACATTATGCCTGATACGAACTATAAAAATATTTTGTGCTTTTCCGTATAAACTGAATAATAGGATAAAAAAACAGAAACATTATGCCTAATGTGACATAAAAAAAGGGATGTCTTCACTTTGCAAGCAGCATAAAATTCTGTTGAATTTCTCAACTCATTGCCATTATTTCTGCTATATACTATTAGAATACTATCGAGCCATTTGGTTATTGCATTGAATTATCCAACTTGTTCTATTTGCAGACATACACCTTAGGAACCAATTGACCTGTGTGGCTCTGTGGAAATAGTCTCGAACTGAAAAAAGCTGGGAAAAACGGATATCTGTCCAATAGGGTTGCACTTAACCGAGCCAATTTTTTCTCATGGTCAGCTCTACGTAGCTCTATCTTTGGTATGGTCATTCAATCAGTTAAGAGTGTTACGTCCCTGAAGGTGCAAATATTGAAAAATATCATCTATAAGAAACTTTTCTACACATCTTCTCCAATATGAACTCGGTAGTCTTTAGTTTTAGACCATGGCTTGAAATACCAGAACTATACGTTTTAGACCATGGCTTGAAATACCAGAACTATTAGTTTTAGACCATGGCTTGAAATACCAGAACTATACGTTTTAGACCATGGCTTGAAATACCAGAACTATACGTTTTACCAGAACTAT